ACGGCCTGACACAGAACTCATAAGGTCCATATCTAGCGAGGAACGCTGTCCTCGGAAGATCTTGCTCCCGAACCCGAAGTTGATGACATCCATACCGCAGATCAATCTTAGAGAAATAGGTAGCTCCCTTCAACTGATCAAACAAGTCATCAATCCTGGGCAAATGATACTTGTTACAAATTGTAACCTTGTTCAACTCCCTGAAATCTATACACAAGTGGAGCGAACCATCCTTCTTCTTCACAAATAAAACCGGTGCTCCCCAGGGTGAAGTACTCCTGCGAATGAAACCCTGGCTGAGTAGCTACTGAATCTGATCCCTCAGCTCGCGCATCTCCACCGGTGCCATCCTATACGGTGCCCTAGCAATAAGCGTAGTGCCTAGAGCTAAATCTAACACAAAGTCGATCTCGCGATTAGGCGGCAATCCCTAGAATCTCCTGAAATACATCTAGAAAATCCTGTAGAACTTGTATGCTATCCAATGATACAGTAATCCCCTCCTCCGTTTCCTACTCTATATGAACAAATAGGTACTAATAATTCCGCTAGAACGCGGCATAACGACAATGTAAATATCCTGGCCAAGTGTGGCGAACACAATAGACCTTCCCCAAAATGAATAACTTGAGCATGACAGTGGTAACCAATCCATCCCAAGTATCACGTCACAAGTATACTTATCCAAGACCAAAAGATTTGTTAGAAATCTGAGTTTACCAATATCTAGTGTCACAGGTCCATCCTTTATGATAGTATGCCTCAAACAATTATCCTAAGGTCTATTGTATAAGTGTATCACCAACTCACCTATCAAAATTTCCTATTTTTGAATACTCCGTATAACATAACACACTAAGAAGACAAAAATACTCCGCAATTTTCCCTTTTAGATTTTTTTCTATCCTAGGAATTCCTCCTTCTAAACCAACCCTACTATATAGATTTACAAGTTCTTTTATAAACTCCTTGGTAATCGTTCCGTTTTAACACCACGAACCTATAAGCAAAGCTTTGTGTGTTTGCTCAGATACAAATCACTTCTACTGTGACTTTCCTTCCTGATCGCAATGTACACATTCTATTATAGTTTAATAAAACCATTTATGTACACATCATACACATGCCATCATAAAAACAAATAACCAAAAACCGTGAGTTCACTTTATTAAGAACTTTTCCAAACCAAAACTGTCAAACCAAAAACCGTAAGGTATTTTTAACATAATCCTAATGTACGTGATTATATCCGTACTACACTTTTACTAATACCTCCTCTTTTACTAGTAATTAAAAATATTCTTAAAAGAGTAGTCATCCTTGAACTCCGGTGCCCTCCATTTTGGATGCAACGGTATCTCCTCCAACCTGATCTTCTTCGAGGTCTTCCTCTCTGCTTGGCTCAGCTTCGAGTACCACCGAAATTGTGTTAGGTCCACAGTATGGTGGCCAGTCCCACACACAAGAAACTATCCTTGACTTGTACTCCGATGTAATGCCTATTGACATCAACTCCCTGGTCTCCAATTCCGGCGGTGTCCGGCTGTGTTGATCCTCCAAACCAAATTTCTTGCTGATTAAAATTAAGTCCTTGGGTGTTCAAAAGTTAATTAACTTCCTTGATTAATAATCACATTCAGTGGGAACAAGAATTAAACAAAATAGTATAAAAACGATTAACATGCACCTAAAAGAAAACATGCTGTTCAACTTCTTCTCCAACTCCGGCAACTTTGTTCCTCCAACGCAAGTTTCTTGTTGATTTAAAACTAAGTCCTAGGGTATTCCAGAGTAATTTAAATTCATCATTCATTAATTGAATTCAATTGGAACAAGAGTTACACAAAACAGAATAAAACATGTAAAATACTTAATCGGAAACACAACCTGTTTTGAACACATTCCATGCAACCAAGCAGTTTAATTTAGTTTTTACCCATCCTGAGATTGTGTTAGAGATGCAAAGAACACGGGCCAAAAAGATAGAGCTAGTATAAAACTTGCCTTACACCGACGTCGTTCAACAAACTCCGGCCAACTCTCTGTTTCTTCCCTTTGTTGCTTCCCAAATTTCTCCCAGACTCCTCTAAACTTCTCTCTATTTTCTTTATGTCGTGACTAGGGTTTTTGATCTGTAAACCCTAAGTAGTCGTCTAATACTATATTTATAGGCTTAAGTAAAAACCTAAACCCTAATTCTAATTGAAAAAGAATTATACAACCGATAATATAACAATCCTATACTACGTCGGCTACAACAATGACGCTAAAACAAAACCCTAATTAATCCTACTAACGTAAAAACTCATTTACTTAATTAAATCATTTAATAATTAATTCTATTTGAAGAAAACAATTTCATCAAATAATTAAAACCCAATAAATAAACAATTAAAGAATGAAATAGAATAAATAATTTACAACACTTAAACAAGTCACAAAATTCAAATAATTAATTAAATCCAATGAAACAATGAAACCAACAAATTCATAACTAAACACATAAAACACAATTTAAATAATTAAATAAATTCCAAAATTATCCTTGTTAAATTAGGGGTATTATAGCTGCTTCATAGATCGATTAGTAAGTTACAACATAACTGACATGGGTTTAAGCTCTCCCAAGTCTAATTTCCCATACACCGAGTAAAAAAGAAAATCATGCAATCAAAATACATAAACAGTTAAAATCCCAAATTATAGAACAATCAAACTATAGTAATCGGATTCGGGTTACATCAATGCCTCGAGAGAGGATTTAGCTACTCATGACGATGGAATATATCATCTATGTTGTTGTAGATTTCATCATCATGGATTGCACTCTCTTCTGAGGATCTTCACCTTCAATTCTTCAGATAAAACTCAGAAACCCTAAAAGCTGCCAAATATTTGCAAGAGAAAAGAACTAAAGGAATAAGAGCTTTTTTGTGGCCGTGTGCATCTTTTTATAGAAGCAACTGACTTCTAACAAGAATTGGATGAGCTTTAGGTCTTCTAGGGTCTTTTGGGCGGCCCATTTAGGACTTATTATGACTTAATTAGAATTAATCCCACAATTAAAAAGTCTGACTTAAGAGGAAAGGCTAAAGCAGAGAAGTTTCTACTTGAGCTTTTTGGCTGGTGCTCGAGCCTTTGCATTTTGCTCGAGCAGGAATTCTATACTTAGCCATTTTTCTCTAATATATTTCTGATGCATCTTTTTCATTAACACTTAGAATATTTTGGGACTTCTTCTTCAGGGTGCTCGAGCTTTTTGTATTATGTTCGAGTTTTTTGGATAGTGCTCGAGCTTTTTGACATCTGCTCGAACTCTGGCAACATGGAACTTTCGAGCCCTCTTTTCATATTTCGAGGAAGTTTATGCTCGAGCCTTTTTGCAAAGGATCGAGCACGTTAGACTTCTGTTCGAGCAAGAATATTTATGCTCGAGCCTTTTTACCTTAGTTGTATTTCTTGCTTCAGTGAACTTTGTGCTCGAGCTAGGGAACTTGTGCTTGAGTTTTTGCACTTGAACTTTTCCAAAATCACCATTTTGACTCCAAGCTTGCTTCAGATGATCGGGAACAACTCCGTAAGCTTCGATATCAGTCTTTAAGTCTCCAGAATCCCGATTTTATCCTTTTCTTTGGGAAAGTACCTACAAAAGCAAATAAACTAAAATCAATCTAAAATTGGATAGAAGTATCACTTAAGGTCTTAACATACGCACGTTTAGAGGCTTGAATATGTAATTTTCATCGCTTATCAGCTGTCTCCACTAAGAACATAACTCGTGCGTGGGTGTGAAAATGGGAAGGTGTTTATATGTATTGATGCTATATCTAAATGGTATGAGGCCTTTTGGGCTAAAATGTAAGAACAAAATCGTCAGATTCGGGGCCCAAAGCAGACAATATCTTTGAGACTATTCATACCAACCCTAAACAAGTTTTAAGGAATGGGAGCTTCAATTTATTCATAGTGAAGGTGTTTAATATGCTCCATGGACGTAACTCTAAGTTTTGGGTGAATCACGCATATATATCTTGTGTTCTAGTGATTATTTTCCTTTTGAATGCAACGTGTGTTTTACTCCTCAAACATCTTTTATTTTTGAGTTTCTGCCACAGTAAGTGGTATTAGAGCATCTGTTCCACAAGAATCGGTATTAGAACATCCAGTTATATTTGGGGTGGATTTGTTACAAAGGTGTTTACCATTGGGAAACAAGTGTGATTATACAAAACTAAAAGGGATTTATTTATTTATTTATTTTATTTTTACTTATTTATTTTTTTGTAATTTATCCAAATCTACAGAGATAACTATAATTTACATTATATATTGATACATATCAATATTTATACTATTATTAAAAGAACAAGATGTTTCAAATAATTGATTTATAAATAAAATATATATACTATTAAAAGTACAAGTTCAAATAATTCATTTATAAATAAAATAATAAAATAAATTATCAATTAAAATATTAATTATATTCTAGCCAAAATTCCTTTTACTGATCTATAAATAGAATAATAAAATAAGTTACGAATGTATATGCATATCTATATCTATATCTATATCTATATATATTTATACTATTATTAAAAGTAGTGTTTGTATTTCAAATCATTGTTTTATAAATAAAATATTTATATTATTATTATTATTAAAAGTATAAGTTGAAATTATTAATTTATAAATAAAATAATAAAATAAGTTATAAATTAAAATAATAATCCTAAGGATTCCCATCATTGATTTATATACTATTAGTACAAGGAGGTGTTAAGGTATTTTAAATAATTAATTTATAAATAAAATATTTAAATAATACAAGTTAAAATAATAAAATAAATTATAAATTAAAATAATAAAATAAATTATAAATTAAAATAATAATCCTATTCCATTCAGGATTCCATCATTTGAATGATAAAGAAAATAAGTTATCAATTAAAATAATAATCCTATTCTATTATGTACATATTGAAATTGTAAATTTTCTTAGTTTATATTACTCCTTTATGGTTTTGTAACCACTGCGAACAAGAGGGGGAGAGGGACGGAGCAAGGGCAAAGCAATAATGATCGAGAAGGCAAAGAAAAGAAATCGATCATGCAAAAAGACCACGGCGGACGTGATTGTATCCACTGCGAAGAGGAGAAAAGCCTTGCAAATTAGAAGAAGAGGCAGAGGAGGGGCCAAAGCAACAGCGACGACGGCGGAGAAAAGGTCTCAGTCATGCCTCATAAATCGTCTTCCTCGAGATGCTCTCATGGCTATACTTTCTACGCTGCGAGTCAAATCTCTCTTGCAATTGAGGTGCGTATGCAAGTCCTGGTACACTTTAATCTCCAACATCCACTTCGTTAAAACGCATCTCAATCGATCCATCACAAGTCCCAATATCCTAAGACAAAGACAACACATTTTGATTAGTAATAACCTAATACCCGATTGTCCCTACGCCTTCAGCCTCGAATCAGCCGCTGATAACGACGAGGGCGACATTGAGGCTTATGTTGTAGAGATCGATTATATCGTTGAGAAAGAGCAGAGTCCCTGCAGTATAATTGGTTCTTGCCATGGGTTGTTGTGCCTGAAGTTCGGGGCAAGAGCTTTTTATGTATGTAATCTCTCAACCAGAGAGTCCAAGCGAATACCTGACTTCAAATTCTCTTATTGGAAAAATTTTTATATATTGGGATTTGGCTATGATCACTCCGTCGATGATTACAAACTGGTGAAAGGAGATAAAAATAGCTTCCATGTATATTCACTAAGAACTGATTCGTGGAAAAAAGTTCAAGGCTTTCCTAACAATCACTGGCCTATCACTCATGGGATACTGCTGAATGGAGCCATCCACTGGCTCTATGTTGATAAAGATTCACTTCTGCCAACAAAGATTGTTGCTTTCTGTTTGGCGGACGAGAAATTTTTGGAGTTTCCCGTGCCTACTCTCGCTGTTGGTATCGTATTCAACTTTGGGTTGCTTGGGGGATGTCTTTGTATACTACCATTTTGTGGTAATGAATTTTGGCTTATGAAGGAATACGGAGTGACACAGTCCTGGACCAAAGTTGTGATTGAAATCCCATCTGTCAGAATCCATACATTAGCTTTGTTGAAGAATCATGAAGCCATATTAAAGATAGACTCCAAGAAGTTAGTTCTATACAACACAAGAGAGAGAACATACAGGGATCTGGTACTTCGGGATTTCCCAGATGTGAATAAGATCCTCAATGCGGAAGCTTATGTGGAGAGCCTTGTATCACCCTGTCAATAAATTAATTCCAGGATGGAGGATGACTGGAAAGGTATGCCAAATAGCTAAATTATGTCTTTTTCACTGTATGTTTGAATTCAATGAACCAAGAATCGTTCCCTCTGTGCTTGCATTAATATACTTGAGGTTTTCAACATGTTAGGAGGGTTTTGGTGTTTGATTGTTTTGTTTATATTTCTATATATAAATATAATATTTGTTAATGAAACCTTAGTGACTTGTTTGTCTACCTGTTGAATATTTGAGTTTTAATTGAGTATATAGAAATTTGCCATCGTTCTTCAATTGCATTTGGAGAAGTAACCTCAACAAAAAAGTATTGAATGATGCGAATGTCGTGCAAGCTTTTGGTTTTTGGAAAAGTTCAAAATTACTGAATGCTTGGATATTGTGGCGCAAATCAAAGCCAGATAATTTGCTAAAACTTCTCGAAACAGTTTTCCCATTGTCATCTTCTTCACAACTCACAATGAAAGTATAGGCTCAAAGTGGGGAGAAAGCAACATAGAGACATTTTGGTGATATATATATATATATATATATATATGTATATATATTTCGTAAATATTTTGGTAATATCAATTAAATATTGATTATTTATTTATATTATTATTATTTTTTACGCCCCCCATATGCAAAAGAGAACCAAGAGAAAGGAAACCAGAATTCACAAAGAAACTTCACCAGGGAATCATATTCCATGCTCATTGTAAATCTTTGTTTTTAGTGGATACTTCCACTCCACATGAATAAGATATTGTAAACTTGACATCCTCAGTTATACACTTGATGACTGTTGTTTCATCCTTGTAACAGTTAGCCTTATCCATTTTGTTTCTTTCTTCCAAGTGTGATAGACCATAGCAGCTAAGGCAACTTTGTGAATGACATTAGCCCACCGTTTCCCTCCCAGGTTGGAACCACTCCTGTGACGGCCCTGGTTTTAGGTCAGCGCATTCTGTGATCAACCGAACGTAGATCCGATAATGAATCTAGAATGCGGAAGTAAGAAATAAGACAACGATCTCCCAAGGCACAACACACCTCTAAGACACTTTAATGACCTTCCATGAGGTCGTGGAACTCAATGAGAACTGACGCGGAAGTAAAAGATCGGAAACATGACAAATAAGCCCCAGGGTCAAAATAGTCATTTCAAATATCAAGGTTAAAACTTAATTAAGCCAATGGAACCCTTAAATCGATTTTAATTAATTCATTTAATTAAAATTTTTAGATTTTCATACTCATCCAAATGCTCCAAAATTAAAGTATGTTAAAGAGCATGCCAAGACTTAATTTAATAGCCTATCACAAGTTAATTTCATGCAAGGTACGGTTATGGGAATTAATCTTTCACAAAAGAAAAATATTAAATAAAAGTTGCAATTCTTATTCAAATGACCCAAATTTAATATATGTCAACAACCATACCAAGGCCAAATTTACTAGCATGCTATACTTTAATTCTAAGTTATACACATCCTTGAGAATTAAATTCTATACAAGGAAAATAATTAAATTAAATTCTAAGATTAATACAAAAAATGCATACAAGTGGTATAAGCTTATAAAATCATCAATACAACATAAATAAAAGCATAAGACATCCCCTACCTCAATTTGTGATGAAAATCTCAAAAGCCACCAAAATGAAACGGCTCCGAATTCGACAATATTTCGGGGTTTTGTTGGGGACAACGCCGTGAACATTAAACTCCAAAGAGGACCTACCAAAATCTTAACTTGACCTCAAACCCGAACTCAAAAATTGGCCAAAAAGGGGTTCTAATAAAGGGGAAAGATGCGCGTAGTCAGGACAAACACAAAATGCAAAGGCACTATGATTTTTTAACAAAGGGAAGAAGGTTTAATTGAGAGAAGAAGGGTGGCAGCCCCCCTCGGGCTGCCATGGCAGCTGCTGGTCGTGCATGAAGGGAGGAGAAGATGACTTTTAACTTTATAACCCCTTATTTATAGTAAAACCCTAAAAGTGCCCCGCCGGGTCCGGAAAAGTGGAATTTGAGCAGACACGCTCAAACGGCAAAATTTCGTGAACGAAAAAGAACCGAAATGAGAAAATATGAATAACGGAAGAAACGACGTAAAAAATCGAGTCCCGATATGCCCCAAACAAGTTCGGCGGCAACCGGGCCCAGAAACCCTGAAACTGGAGAAAAACGACCAGAAGGAAATTCTAAGAGCACACAACTCGACAAAATGTGAAAATGAATCCCGTACGAGGATGCAGGCTCAAAACGAGGCATTTTTTGCAACAACTTTCATTAATTGCACAATGGCCCCTCCAAAAAGTGAAAACTGCAATAATGACCCAGAATAAAAATATCTTCCAAAAATATTTTCTTAAAAACCCCTGAAATAAAATATCTTCAAAATATATTTGTGAAAAACACTCCAAGAAAAGAAAAAGATTTTGAAAAATTATGAAACCATACCCCTATGGACATCGGGAGCAACCAGAGTACTTTACTGCAAAAGTAAAGATACATATTTCGTGGAAACCACTTAGAATGAAGATACGTGAAGTCAAAAACCAACTCCGAGCATGGAAAGTGAGGTTTTGCCAAAAAGTGACAAACGAGGAAAAGACAATAGGGAAAAGGACGAAAAGTGAATAGTGTCCAAAAAGTGAAAATGTGGAAATGACTCGGTCCTTAAAGGAAGTTTTCAATCCAAGGGAAAGAGTTTCGGAAACCATTTCTGTGCACTCGAGACGACACTAAGTGTCGAGAAACAGAATTCAGAAAAGAAAATTAAACGAAAAAAATTTATCCGTAAAATTTGTGAAAAAGGAAAGGGAGGAAAATGACCGGGTCATTACAACATACCCTCCTTAAAGGAATTTCGTCCCCGAAATTAGGAACATCTGAGGAGAACAGAACTAAGACTGAATGCAAGGTCAAACCAAAGAACAGACCTTAAGGTGCTAAAGGGCAACTCCAAAAGCCTGAAGATCATCCGAAGGAAAACGAAAACCAAGAACTGAGAGACAATTCCCTGAACGAATCGGTATATTAACTCAATGTTAATAACCGAAAGAATCCCAAGACAACGACAAATCGGATCAAAACAGATGGTTAAGAATGACATGGCAGTACGAAAAATAACCAGAACCTGTCCACACTTACTTGTCAGTAAGGTAGCATGACAGTATAAGGTACTAGTTCATAACATGCCCCCAACAGATCAACTCAGAAAGAAACTTTTCGATACAAATGACATCAATGTCGAAAATGATCATTACCAAAAGCACTACGGAAACCAAGCATCTGCGAGAGTTAGGGTAGTTAATCCCAAAACTCAAACAACAATGTCATTGGTGCCGTTACACTTAAGGCCTTAAATCCCTAACGCTGGAGTAACAGCGACCCCCACATCTGAAAATGCTATAACAACAACACCAGTCACGAATCCACAGCCTGACAAGTCTATGCCCTCAAGCCAATGGATTGGACCCACAAAACCAAAAACCTATGCACCGATCTGAAGTAGACCTACATACAGAAGACAAAACGTAGGGTTAAAATCCCTATAGTGGACAATTAAAACCTCAAAATGCAAGTCTACAACGTAGCTCACACATCTCTATCCCAACAACCAAGGTTACAAAACCCAACATAAGTGCAGGAAAGATGAAATAGTATAAACCAAATACTCACATAGTGCATACTCGCAAAAATTAAATGACATAAATCAAATAATATTATAGTACTGAACACACAGTACACATAAGGTAAACCAAATAAACCACCTATCACATAGGGGTCAAACAAATAGCGACGCGCTATACCCTACCAACGGCATAAACATGGTAAGCAAATATTGTATAAGCAACGTATCATATACATTCTCATATAACTACCACATAGTCATAAATCCTAAACATATTTCTAAGGCATGCCCGAAAACAATGGGGCTCATAAATATGTTAAAGTGATCATACAAATGGCAAGTTCGTAAAATCAAAAGAAATGAATGGAATGCCTCTCAAAAGGAACAACGTCTCAGAAAAGGTAACACTTCCAATCTCTCACTACGAGGAAAGGAATCATTCCCCCTAATAACCACTAAGGTCTCCTAAATATAAAGTCAACACGTTTTTCCTAAGACCAGCTCATTCCCTGATGGAATCCCAACACTACACGAAACAAGGCAACAACGAAATGGACAGCCTCAAGGCTAACCGTTACAAGACATCAACGAGAAAACCCCCAAACCAAGATGCCAACGAGCTCGATAGGAACTCTATAGCATTCTACCAGAACCCTAATACAACGCCCCCCAAGTCTCTAATGACAAGGAAGAGTAATTAATTGCACCAACACAATTAATTACACGAAACCACTCACATCCCAATCGTAGCCCGTAAGAGCTAACCAAGGCAATACAAGAAGGATCCTAGGTCAACACACCCATCCAAATCCCGAAACCATAGCCCTAAGAAGACAAGACACAAGAATCTCGCCCTGAGGCTCACAAGGCAACTTCCCAACTCCCTAAGGAAGGATTCGAGTCAGTCCTGACTCATCGTCCTATGACGCTAGAAACAAAGACCTCAATGACATCATGATGTCAAGACCACTATGAAGTCCTAAGAGATGACACCGACACCTCCAACGCCACTATGACCACATCAGAAAAAGACGAAAGAAAATGAGACGAAACAGTGTCTTCGTGGCCTACGTCTCATCTCGCTAGACAAATACTACAACCTTACGCTCACCTGAGCCCTAACAAGAATACTCTCCGCGAGTCAAGACTGTGACGCTATATGCGTGGAAAGGAAACGAGATCAATAATAACACGAGTTATTATGATCGAATGTAACTCACACTATGAATGTACCAAACACAAAGCAAGACAGGGTATGCAACATACGGTCATGCTAAAGCAATCAAAGAAAGCTGGTTAAACAATTAAGTACTTAAGTAAATAAGCGTACATGTCAAACAAGGATGCTCTTAAACACATAAGCATATAAGTATAGAGACATGTCATAATACCAAACGT